AAACTACTGATCTCTCTCGGAAGGCATATCAGCCCTTAGTGCCCTAATTTAGGTGGATGGGGCAGAGGGGATGGATGCTGTTACATGCAGCTCTGTCCTTCCTGCGTTTGCTACAAAAAGTGGAAGAGGGGGACGGGGACACAGGAAACTGTCCCTCACATAATCAGTGCATGAACATTCCTCCAAATGTCCTTGATGGTGGTTATTTAACTTGGTTTCAATGATACCTGAATGACAGGACTCACACTATCTCTGAGATGACCCAGACCACTGCCATCTAATATGCACTAGTCACCTGTGCTAGTGAGCACTTGAACTGTGGTTAGTCCAGATGGAGCTGTGCTCCAAGTGTAAACTCCACATGGGATTTCAAAGACCTAGCATGAAGAAGTGAATGTAGAATATCTCATTACTATTTCTGATACTGATGACATGTAGAACTGATAATATTTTGGATTGGGTTGAATAAAATGTTAAATTTAATTTCATGTTTTCCTCTTCCATTTTTTTATTGTGGCTACCAGAAAATCTAAAATTACACATGGGACTCACTTTCTCTTTCTATTTGACGGTGCTGGTCTAGACAGTCAAAAAGCTCTTTGCATTGAGTCAAAACTGGCCTTTTCTAACCATCACCCAATTTTGCCTTTGGGAGCAATAAATGAAGCATCTCCAGATGACAGTCCAGTGTTTGGAGACAATCATCATCCCACCCCATTGTTTCTTCTCATGCTGGATAGACCCTCCTAGAGAACATTGCTTCTATGACATGTGTTAAAGATTATTAACCCAAACTTGGAAAATGACAAGATGATTATACGTCCAAAAAGATACACATCCAAGATGTATCTCTTTCTACCGTTTAAATTTAACACAGGAAGATTGAAAGTAAAAGCGTGTTTCTTGTAAATAGCATTTTTTTTTTTTCCTTTCAACACTTTAAAAACACCATTTCATTGTCCCTGGCTTTACTGTTGCTTCTTGGAAGATAATGTCCCTCTCCTCTCTCCAGCCATCCCCCATGCTTTTAATATTTTCTCTTTGTCTTTGATTTTCAGTAATTTTACTATGATGTGTCAGGGTGGGGTTTTCTGAGCTTCTCGAATCTGTGGCTTGATTTCTTTCATCAGCTTTGGAAACGTCTTGGCCAGTGATTCCCCAAGTATTATTTTTCTGCTCTATTTTCTCTCTTCTCCTTGGATGTTAATTACATACATGGTAGATCTCTTTGCTGTGTACTAAATGTCTCTAACACTCTTTCCAGTAAGTTCCACCGTCTTCTTTCTGTGCTTCAGTTTCAGTATTTTCTACTGACCTGTCTCCAGGTAGTTTCACTCATGTTCTACTCTGGTTCATGCTTATAGACGCTCCCAACCCCCCCAGGCTTGTGTGTTTACTAGAGCCCAGCACAGCAAGACTGCAGGAAAACTAAGCTGTTTCTCACGAGTTTTTTTTGACTTCCTATCCCAGGCAGCCTAAAAGTTCCCGAATGTCTTGAAGGGTAAACAGCTGGGTGGGGTAGCCCTCTCAAGTCCCCATTTGTATCACTCCATCCCTGTGAAAGCACCTAAATCCTGCAGCTTGCAAGGTCCCCTAGCAGAGGAACCTCGACAATCAGCCCAGGAAAAGGCTGCAGCACACAACCTCTTCATGGGTCTCTCTTCTCAAATCTCAGCTCTATTCCTCACTTCTTCAGGAGCTCTCTGATGTCTTTTGACAGATTATATTTGTATGTATCCATCTTTTTGTAGTTCTTGCCACAACTGTGAGTCTGCCTCAGAGTACTTCAATCCAGGAGTAGAAATCTTCATGTACTTATCACCATCTCCCCCACCCTCTGACTCTTCTTATGTGATTTATTTTTTAAGGCAACTCACTTATTTGTCCTGCTAAATTACCCACATCCTAGATTTGGCTGATTGCTTCCTATTGGGGTGTTTAACTTGTTCATCTAATTCCCACCTTTCATGTAAATGGGCAGTTAAACCTAAAACCTTGATTAGATTCACATTCATCTTTGGGGAGGGGAGGTTTGTCCTGAGAAGAAAACTTCACCAGTGATGCTACATGGTTACTCTGCCATCACACCAGGCTCATCTGTCCCACCAGCAGCGATGTTAAGAATGGATGGATTCAGGTGCCTTCAGCTTGCATGGAAATAGATCACTTCCCTTGATCCCAGGAAACAGAGAAGGGGTACTGGAAGAATGGAACAGGAAGGAGGAAGGAATGATCCAAGGCCACACTGTAGAGCTGGTTACAATGGGCAGCCACAGCTCAGTCTTTTTGGAGTCCTTTTTCAGGAACCAGCTACAGGACACACCCTGGGATTGTCTTCCCAAAACAAGGGAGTGTTTATTCACTGTATCACATCCCCAACTGCTGAAGGTTGCTCCAGGGCCTAACTCCCTCTTACCCAGGTTTGTGCGGGCATCCCTTGTCACACTGGTAGGGTAAGCCCCAGGGTAAAAAGGCAGATACTCAGCGGATCTGAAGCAAGACGCTGTCAGGCTACACCTACATGCAGCTGGTAGTCTCAGCAGGAGCCAGAGCACCAAGGCAGGCCGATGCTCCGTATTTTATGCGCTGTCTTATTCCCTCACCCCGGCGGTCTCAGCAGCCATTGATCCTTATTCCCTAGATCCCTTATTTCATTAGGGCCTGCAAAGTACTGATTTTCTAATTCTATCTACATTTATTAGGTGGAATTCTTCCATAAAGAATTTTCCATCACTGGTGGTTTGACTATTTTGCAGGTTCAATTTTGTTACTTTAGAGGTTGCTAGGGCATCAATTCATTATACTCCGAAAACTGATAAATAAGGGAGAGGTGGAATCAAACACTTATCCTGCCTTTCCTGTACAATGATGAGGTTATTTTAGAGTTATAATTATGCATTTGGGATTAATATAAACACATACACATATTTTCATGCCTAATTTGTCTCCTTCAAGTTGGCTTCTATAACCTTTTGAAAGAACCCTATTAGTCTCTGAAACGTTCTGGAACCTGGGACTTCTTGTACCAGAGAGCAACCTATACAATTATTGCCCCAGACCTTATAGATGTATTAACTATTTTGCAAATAAGTTCTGGTTCCATTTAACTGAAAATGGAATTTAGAGACCTCAATCTGGGCTTTAGTGGTTCTCATTCTTATCAGGTTGTAGTTATTCTGGCCTTTTCAAACTGAAAAGTTGGAGTTGGAAATATTTACTGTTCAGAAACAAAAATTAATCATATGAAGTTTCTAAGTCAAATTTAAGATTACTAGCTTCTAACAAGATTACATAATTTCTAATTTGTTTTATCCTACGATATACTTTTTTTTTTTTTTGCTGAGGAAGGTTCACCCTGAGCTAATATCTGTGCCAATCTTCCTTTATTTTGTACGTGGGTTGCCACCACAGCATGGCTGATGAGTGGTAGAGGTCCGCGCCTGGGATCCACGCCTACGAACCAAGTCACCGAAGCAGAGCACGTGAACTTAATCACTAGGCCATGGGGCTGGCCCCCCCATAATACACTTTTAATAACAGGGATGATATCAAGATAGTTTTTTGAAATTAACCATGAAACTGTATTGCGCAGTCTCAAATTTTTGTCCTTAGTATATATCCCATTGACAATATAGAATCAAAATACGGTGCTTGAGTCACTAGAAATAATTATTTCTTCTCTACTTAGTTCACTGTCCTCCTCTTCCCCTTTAGAGAACCATTTTTATTACTTTTTGGTTTATCCTTCAATTGTTTTTGGAAATAGAAGCAAACATGTATGTATGCACCTTTGTATCCACTCACCCTTTCTTACCCTCAAATGTTTTCACCCTGGGATCACTTGGTTTTAGTATATAGATGTTCATTCATTCATTCATGTATGTATGCATTCTACAGCCACATGGCACTACACTGTATACTATTATTTATTCAACTAATCCCTATTAATGAACACTTGGGTTGATTCCACTCTATTAAAAATAAGGCCCATGGATACAATTTGTACTTAATACCCAGAAGTCCAAAAACTGGCATTATCACTTTCTAGCTATTGATCCTGACTTCTCAAATTTCCATTTCCTCAATTGTAAAACAAGGAGTTTTAACAACATGACGTAATTCTATCAGGGTTAAATAAAATGTTAATTTAAAAGGTATCTCCATAAATCTTAACAATATCTGATACAGTCAGTAAAATGAGTTAAAACATGAATCATGTAATTACTATTACATAGGTCACTTCTATTTAATTAAGAAATTAGTATTTTGAGAGAGACAAAGACCAACTAGAATGTATCCACAGAAAGACCAGGATAGTGAAATTTCTACAAACTACCTTAGATGAAACAGTTGGAGAATTCAATTAAATATTTATTGAACAAATGCAGAATAAATGAACTACAGGGTGCTTTAACTTGAAGATACAATAAACTTCAAATAATCAGAGGGCTGTCACACAAAAAATGAGAGTCTTGTTCAGTGTTTCTCCAAAATGCAGAACCTGAACCAAGGGATAAAAACAAGCAACCAACAGGCTGCAGGACAGCCGTACCAAGTGTCTCTCTATTCTTAACAGCTTCCTTCCCCACACAACGCATTCCATACTTAACTTCCCTTCTTCTGAAAGGAAACATTACAACTTAACACTCCTCATGAATGTCTTAAATGAGTCGCATTTTCATGGCAAGCCCTCCACTGCCAGCAATGGATGTACTCACACTATTGGAAAAAAACGTATAGTTAACACAATGGATTATTAAAGAACTTGTCTTTCGTTCCTCAGCTATATTTCAGCATTCTGTATTAGTGATTCTCAGGAGGTGAGGAGAACAGAGAGCATATTCTCCAAAGAGGAAGAATCAGAACCCCCAGCAATTCAGGTGCTGCCTGAGGACAGTCCTCTTCAAACCCCAAATGAATCCCTACAACTGTGGATCAATGGTGCAGATGGCAGTGTGCTGGGTCCTGGGGCAGGAAAAACCAACTGACAACCATGGTTCTACACGAAGCAGGAGAGCTCTATTTTATGAGTCACTAGGAAATATAAACTGACTGACTGCATAATACTGACAGGCTCCATCCAAATTGTCGAATATTACAAAATGAGAATTGTGTCCACAACTATTCAGCATAATATTTAAGGACAAAATATATATAATATACTTTATATTATATAGGCATTTTATCACATGCTCAGTAAGGAATGCTGAGGTGCTTAATCCATCCGATAAATTGAAAATAAAAATTTTACATTTTTGTATTTGTCAGTATAGAGGATTCTGAAGGTGGATCTTGAACTCAGTATAACCAATCAGTTTTCGAGGAAAGCCACATAATCGGTCAGTCTGGCTAACTGCTGTTCATTGGGGATTGGTGGAACTGGGGCAGGCTCTGTATGTTAAAGAGAGAAACATACTCAAAGTTAGACACCAGTGTAACAAAGCTTTGGTCTTGCCACCCACACCCCCCCAATGTTTTTAATTTTAACAATAAGGAAACTTTCTTAGATTTGCTGTGATTTTGGACTTTTTTGAAAAACAAGCCAAGAAGTTTCAACTTTTATGAGTAGTTTTCCCAAACTGGGAGTAAAGACATTTGGCTTTGTTATTAAAGTTTTCCATGTGACAGTTAAAAACACTTTTAGTTAACAGGCAACATCTCCTTTAAGAGAATACAGCTCTTCTTGGAAAGACGCCTACCCATGTGATATTTAATTCAATGAATAATTACCACATGCTGGGCAATGCTCGAAGAGAGTATTAAGTTGTCAGTGAACACAAAAACACAGAGAACTCCATCGTCAAAGAGTTAGTTCTAGCATTGAGAAGGGACCACATGCCAGCATGGGGGTGCCTTCCGAGGAGGTGCTGTGACAAGCTCTACCACGGCCCCCCAAACAACACTGAGGAGGCTCTCTGGCCCTGCCAGAGGGCACCACTGCCTTAGGGAAGCTACAGAGGGGAACCCACACGCTCCCTCTTGTAATCAGATGTAGTATCATAAACACCAAGTACAGAATTTAATCTCTTTGTTTACAAGGTTAGAGCTAAGAAACACCACAACAAGAAATGAAGAACAATCAAACATCTTTTCAATGAGCATATGAAACTACTTACCTGATAAGGGAATAAACCTGTTAAAGGAAACATCCAGGGCCCCTGCAACTACATAAAATTTACAGCCCAATTAAGAGAAGTCACTGTAAAGAACTTTCATGTACAACATGTCATTTTTAATGCAATGGCATTTGTGGTCATTTATTTCTCAAACAGGGATAACAATTATGCTCTACTTTTTACATTAGTCTTTTTACTTCAGTGGTCTTCTCTCACCATCCAGATGGGCTAGGACCATCCATGTCTTACCACTCCTGTGCCCTCTCAGAGCTGAGCACACTGAGATTTGTGTAACACCTTACCGTGGGGTCAACAATGTCTAACAATACGAATTCATAGCAGGTGAAAGGAATTTTGGGTTGAAGTAGATCAGAAGGGTTTATGCAAGTGGGCATTAAGCCTGGCTCTACAGACCTGGCAGAAAAGGACACTCCCGGTAAGCAGGATGGAGAGAAACCACCAAGCAGGAATCAGCACGGCTCACTTAAAAGGGGAAGACACAGGGATGGGAATTCATGACAAGATGACGAGGACAGGGAAAACCATTTAAGGCCTTAAAAGACCAGAGAGCTTAATTTTGTGAAAGTTATGGCCATTGAAAGTCTCGTTTAGAACAGTCTATGTGTCAACAGTACAAGGAGAAAATGTATCTGAGTATTTAAAATATTTTTTTAAAAAGGCAATAGTTTAGATATAAAGGATAAGCAGTTAGAAATGGCCCCATAAATAAAAGGATGGACGATTAATACTTAGTAAAAATTAAGTTGTATTAAGGATTATGAAACACCCATATAAAATAATTTTTTATATAGGAAATACATTTTCAAAATTAAGATAAAACTAGGTGACATTTAAGATCTTTTCTACCCTAAGTGTCTATCATTCTGTATCTATAACATCTGCATTACTTTCATTTTGTTAGTTTAGATTTTTATCTCAAATTTTTCAAATTCAATGCCGGAAAAACTGAAGCAGTCTTAAGAAGAGCTCAACGCTGCACAAAGGGACGAAGAGCTCCACCTACCTGGCTTTTTGGGCATAACCATTCTTGTCGTGGAGTCGGCTTGCCATCCTTGTTCTAATATACCTAAAAATGTGTATTTGACACAAAAGAACAAATAACCAAAAAACCTCCACAATTTTCATTTAGAAGATCCACAATCTGTCAATGACATTACTTGTATGGGAGATCTGACACATGTAGTCTAACCTGCAATGTGTATTTTTACTAGAAAGGTATACCACAGACTGCATTTTCATATGAACTTGAATACACTATGGTAGTAACCTGATCAATATTAAAAACAGACGTAAGGAAAACTTACATGGTACCTTCTGTAATCATTCTACCAGTAATAACAAAGATGATGGCGATGATAAAAACAACAGCTCACATACACAGAAGGATGACCAGTGGGTACTGTGCTAGGTGCTTTTAGAGGGATCATTTTATGCAAGCGTCACAACAACTCTATGAAGTGGGACACATGGCCACAATTTAACAGATGTGGAAAATGAAGTTCAGAGAATTCTAGTGACTTGTCCTAGATCACACAGCTGGCACAGGGGGTAGGCAGGTGGGGGTACCAAGATTCACACCCAGGCAGTCAGTTAAGAGTATGGGCTCTGGGGTATCTTAATTATTAGATAATAAATTATGGATCAATTTCAAGAGACTAGTCAAAACAAATACTTGTATGAGTAAGTAACAGTATGATTTACTATAAGAACTTTCATTAACCCACCCTATGTGTGTCTAGAATTGTGATAGGCCTTGGAAATTGTTAGAATAAGATGTGGTGCTCAATGGAGCTCATATTTTGGTTGGAGAATCCCAAACATCAATCATCGTAAAAAAAAACGCCACAGGTGCCTGCAATAGTCTATAGCAATCCAGCAGGGCAGGGATGAGTCTGGGCATCATCTGAGAAATGAAAGTGCAAAAGCACCTCTGGAAACCTGTGGGTAAGAGTGTGGTGCAAGCACCTAGGTTACTGGTAAAAACAGCGAAGAAAAAAATGGGCTGAAAAGGGATACTGGGATGAGACTGCCTTTACCAAGTATGGGTGGAATAAGGATTTCTAAATGTGAGCAGTGAGATCAGTTAAGAGTTATTTTCTTAAAAAAAAAAAAAATTATCAACATGTTGGTTTTCAGAGAATAGAAATAATTTAAAGAAGTTACAAAGTTTAAGCTCAAAATTACAAATATAATGTTACCCACTTAGCATAGTTAAAAGCAAATAAATGGCACATGCTTCATTTTCTTGCATGTCACTTTCTACTACTCGTAAGAACCAGGATGTAACCTGGGGTCCCGATGTCAGATGTTATCAAATGCTTTATTTTGTACCCTTTTCTTTCAGTAACTCTGTTCTCACCACCTTCCTCTTCTCTCCCACTATTAGTCAACAGCAGCTCCAACTCTTCCTTCCTGGGCATCAACTTGGAAGAGCTCACCACCATTTAACAGGGTTTGGGTGTTGATCAAAGGTCTTAGAGATAAAAGTAGAAAATATTTAGGGGTCAAGCCATGGGAACCATGACAAGAAATGACTACTGGAACACTAAAGAGGTTCCAGTAAGGAAAGAGCTAGAATAATCATATGCAGCAAGGGTACCGCTCAGACACACAGCCAAATTGTAAGTTCACAGAAACGGTAAAGTATTTCTTTGCAAAGCTCCTGTGTTAAGATATCTTTATCTGTGTTAGTATATCTTTGGTGCCTATCTTTGGAAAAAGGTGCTTTAAAAGTAAATAGAAATCCACAATCAGAAGTCCAAAAAGCTCTACAAACCAAAAAATTTTGTCTTTAACTGGTTTGGTGGGAAAACCTGATGTAAACCACTATGAGTCTATTTCTGATTGTTCCCCACACCAAGAGTGTGGATATGCACATACGTGCTCGATTACAGGCGGCCTGGTGTCCGGGACCCTGCTGGGGGTGTTGTGCAATGTATGTTTCATATCACCTTTCTAAAAAATAAACACAACCTAAATTTCAAGACCACATCCTGTTCCAGTGGTTTCAGATAAGAGATTGTGGACCTAAAATTTACACTTCCATTTTCCTTGAAAAGAAGTAAGCCAAAGATACCTTTCACAGCCTCTTCCACAGGAAGTCCAACAAAGGCTGCAAAGTCATCGGCGACGATCGAGGTATAGGCTTGAGAGACCAGGGCGAAGGCTCGTCTCCTTGTCGCGTCTATTGTGGGAGGGGAGGATTGGCAGACAGTAAACCTAAAGAGCTGACATTTTTAAAACACACAATTAAATTACACTATTGTCCTTGTCCAAATTTTATAAGGTAGACTAGATTAACTCAAAGATTTCTATACTTATACAGATACATGTGCCTAGCATGTAAGAGGTGCTCAAATATTGCTGAAAAAACAAATGCATTTCTTATGCTTCCTCTTAGACAAAAAAATCTCTCAGATGACAATGAAAATGACAAAGATGGAAAAAAGTTAATATACACAAGACTCAAACCCTAAGAAAATTTTATTTAAATATATTATTATGTATTTGGGATGCAGATTTTTAAATTTCTCTTTTATTCTACTTACAAATACTGGAATCAATGGAGCAGAAATTACCTAATTCCATCATTAGCTGTCCTTTCTCAGGAGGGCCTCTGATACAGGATCACACCTGGGAGCTGCAGAACAAACCTTATAACTAGAGCACCCTTCCTAACTTTCAAGCTGGCTCTCATCTCTTGACTTCACTCAGATTCAAGTCCTAAGGTGAAGCCTGAATGACTGAGCCTAACACAAAGTGGCTGCAAACAACTCGAGCAAGAAACCTCCTTCCTAGAGATGACACGTGGGACGTCCCCAGGCTTAAATTTCCACATTCAGTAATCAGAAGAATGAGGCAGAGACAACAATCCAATGGGAGGAAGTGGAGCCTGGCTAGCCTGTTTTCCTGTCCACTGCTGTTTCAGTAACACAAGGGCTCCTCTGCCTGGCTGTCTACATGCTTAGGAAATATTCTGGATTTTACTTGTCACATTTAATAGGCAAGTGTAGATGTAAAAGACAGCCCCGTAACATACTGAAAATCCGCTCTCCATTCCTGGGACACTGCCTAGCCACTACGCCAATCTCCCCAGACATCCTTTGCTCCAAACTATCCCCCAGGGCCTCAGACATGTCTTATACCTTTTCATCTCCAGGCTTTGGGTTAATGCTGTTGTGTGGCCTGAAACGCCCTCCTCCCTGCTCTCTACTATTCCTAGGTCTGTTTATAAACTCTTCCTGCAGCACTAAAATTCACTGCAGACTCTGCCCTTCTCTGAATCCATAGTATTGTTCACACTGTTTATTTAACAAGCAATCTTTTACCACCTATGGCATACGCTGCTCCACCCCCTTCCCACTCATATCATCTCAATATCCCAAACATCTCTACAGGACGGTTGTCTTTTACATCTTTATATCCCCTGACGTGCGTAGCATCTCTAATGAGGTACATGCTGAATACAAGCTTGTTGATGGCATCACCAGGACCCAAATGTCTTAGGCGACTTTCTCCTCTTCCCATGTTTTTACAGTCAATTCCTTCCTTCTTACCACCAACCTCTCAGCAAATAACCTTAAATCAGACTTTTAAAACATCTTAGAGGTAAAAGAACTTCTTCTATTGAAGGCTACAGACATTCAGCAGAAAAAAACCGAGAGCAACAACGGAAAAGGAAAATACAAGTGTATACCAAAAACGATATTCATTCGGTAAGCCCACTACATTTTAAAAACATTTACTTTAGTTCAAGCACTCTGGTCAGATTTTCAGAGTTGAGAGGAAAAAGATGGGGAACAGAAGAAGAATGGAATGTGAATGGAAGAGAAAAACAGAATGGAGAGAAGAGAAACAGAAAGGGGCATAACCGGGAAATCGAAGAGAAACATACAGAGGAAGCAGAAGTAGACTGGCAGAGGAAGCACAAATACAGGCCAAGTGTTCCACAGCATCAGTCAGAGGCTGTAACACTCAGGCTGCTTTTGACCACTCGGCATGAATGAATCTAACATCTACATTCTAACCAGTCACTCCGTGACTCTCAAGATCTGTGAAATTTGTAACCTCACAAGGACATTCATTAGAATGACATGCTGGAAGGTGGAATAAATTGAGCCAGCAGCTAATGACTGTGGCAATTCATCATGGGACAAAGTCTTGGGGAGACCCTAATAGAAGGCTCACTCTGTTAAAAAATACTTAAAAGCGCCTATTACCTATCAGGAACTGCCAACTGCCAGCACTGGAGATGGAAGGGAAGATGAGGTGGCTGTCCCGTCCTTTCCAACCCACCTCTGCCCTTCCATTCCAGGGAGGCTGGCACCACGCCTGTGGCCCCTGCTTAGGGAATGGGGTTCTGCAGGTCAGGGAATGTATTTCTTCCCCGCTCCCTGCCCTGCTCTGGCTGATACTCTCTATCTATAGCTTGTGTGAGGCAGCCCCTTCTCTGTGCCTCCAGTAAAGCTGTCCCTCACTTTGTGCCTCTGGGTCTGGGGTGAGAATGGCCACTGTCGACAGCTAGTACCTGGGGGCTTCACCAGTCCCTGTGGGTTTCCTCTGAAAATAGTTCTTTCACTAGCCTCTCTTCATTAGGCCATTTTCAATTTTCTAATAGGACTATGACTAATTCAGAACAGAATGGGAGAGATCTAAGAAAGTGATTGTTCTTAACCAGAAAATAGAAGTTTATAATACATTAAAAAACAAAATATTAAATTTAGCAGTAATTCAATCTGTTATGAGACTACCCTCACAAGGCTGCATTTTATGGAGGAAAATATAGTACCATTTATGAATCTGGGGATTTGCAGAATTCTCAGGATAGTCATAAATATTGTAGGTGAAAAGAAGAGTGCTTTAGAACACAATAAGTGTTATACATATTAATTCATTTCTAAAAATCTGAGGAGAGTACTGGTTATAATCCCATTTTACAAATGAGGAAAACAAAGCACACAGGGCTCACTCCTAGTAAGTCAGAACCAAGATTTGAACTCCAGAAGTCTGGCCCTAGAGTCCAAACTCCCACGTCATGATATACAGCCTTTCAGGGGCCTACTGGACTGCTTTCAAAGGAGTTCTTAATCTAACAGAGAATCCACCAGGAAGGAATACAACTATACCCACCAAAGGGACACAAGGGGACATTTGCTGAAGGAGTCAGGAGACCCAAGCCCTAGTCCTGCCAAAGAACCTACTATATATAAGGCTGGGAAAAGACACATGGCCTGTGCCCTCACAAGACACTTGTAAGACTGAACTAGAAACTACCAAAGTACATTACTACACTAACTGCTCGGGCCTTACTCAAAGCGGTTAAGGCTATTTCCTGTGCAAATATCCAAAATTGCCCCTAGTGTACCTGTGTAACCTTATTCCACACCCCTCCCTTCCCACCTAGCTGCTGGCCCTGTAGTCCAGCTCATTTCCTTCGTATTTTAAGTAAGTGCCTCCTGTTTTGTCGCTTACATTGCTCTGTTTTATATTGATACAGTTTTATCATTCCAAGAGAATTAGATATACCTCGGAAGCAAGCTTTACCTTCTGTTCCCCTGAAAAGCTGATATCCCTTGCCAGACTGATGAGCAGTTATTCAAAAATTCCTGCTCACTGACTCCTCCAGAGTGGAAGGCAGACAGTGAGGGCAGGTATTAACTATCGAAACAAGGTAACAATAAGAAATAAGGGTATAACAACATAAAAAGGGATCACTGTATGAATTTATAAAAGAGTTAACCAGGAAGACTGGCAGCAAATGTTGGAGGTGGGAAAATGGAGAGAGAGAGGCAGGACCGAGTTTTATTGTGGGATCAGTGCTATGGTGCACCAGGCTTGTAATCTTTCAAAGCAATTACAAAAAGTTTGAGCATCTGTGTATTAGAATTGATTAGTTATAAATCCAGAAGCTGAAGACAACCCCTATCAAAGCCTGAGGTCGACAGAATCTAAAGTACAGTCTGTACTTTCATATACGTGGGGTTTAAAATCTTCACCAACCCATATCTGGACCTTATTGGAGTGACTTCATTTCATTTTAGGAGCAAAATACCCATTTACTGACAAGAGCAATTTCAAAACAGAATTAAATTAAGAGACAGTGAGGTCCCTAGCTGCCAATATAATCTCAAGTAACATGAAACGAAGAAGCATGATTATAGCAAATCTAAAAAAGAACTGAGAAAACTTCCCCATTCACCTTGCAGAAAATATCTATTTTTTTAAACACATCATTGACTCACTCCAACAGTGCAGCACTGACGGAACAGGTCTAGCCTAATTTAATTCTCCACCACAAAGAAACACTACCTCTAAGTGCTTCCATGATGGGCTGGACTGTCTCAGACCACTGGTAAGCGCTGATTGTCGTATAGATCCCCGGGAAGTCTCTCTGCCAGATTCTCTGTCCCACAGACCAAATTCCTCCAAGTTCAGAATTTGCCTGCAATAAATATGATTGCCTTTGAGGATATTCACTCTGTAGATCTACCAACAATCGTATCTTAAAACATAATTCAATATTTCTTTTAAAAGGTATAATTACTTTTCAGCACAATCACTATCAAAAAGGTTTTTAAATGATGTAAACAGTAATTTAAAATTTATTTTTATGTTTTATATGAATTCTTATAGTAATAGGAAATTAAGTAGTCCAAAAATATTTCAGAATTAAGTGTAGGAATTAATTATCTTAAACGTTGTTTTTTAAAGATGTATTTACATTTCATATATACATATATTCAACATACAGAACATATTCCTATATACATGTACATAAATATATATACATATTTTTAGGACAAAAATAATAGCAAAATGGCTAACAATACAGACTGCCAATCTAAGATGTCATACATTGTAGCCTCTCTAAGAACAGAGTTCCCACTAACATCACTGAAACTAGGGGTATAATTTATAGTTCTTTATTTTAAGCCAGTGAAGCTGGAGGAACATTCCAATCTTACTTAACAGAATGTCTGGGAAAGGAAAGGAGACTAAGAATACTAATCTGATCTGCTGCTGAAAATCAATAATGAACAAAAGAATTTGGGTGAACTCTTGGTAATATCCTGTGAATGCTTAACAAATTCACTTCACCTTTATGCTAGACATAGTGAATCACTTGAAATTAAAAATTTACTTCACTTTGGAAGAAACTTTTAAAAGGTTATTTCATCTAATCTCCCACCCAAAATAAGAAATCTGAAATCCTCATTAGCAAAATTTATAATACTGTGAATAATCATCATTTTTAGAATATTCTTATAAACAATACCAGTTTTGAAATAAACACCACTCTAGGAAACTGCAAAAATCAGTTAAAAAAACAAAACAAAAACCAAACGTTTATCTAAACTGGCTCAGTTATTTACCAGGTCAAGAAGTGACCTGGTAAAAGAAATCTTAAGAAATCTGACCCGTAGGAGCTGAACACAGATTTCTATACCATCCAAAGCAAAACCAATTGATTAGAAGGATTTGTAGATGTATTTCTTTTTTTTTTTTTTTGCTGAGAAAGATTCGCCCTGAGCTATCATCTGTGCCAATCTTCCTCTACTTTGCATGTGGGTTGACGCCACAGCACGGCCACCAACAAGAGGTGTAGGTCCGAGCCCAGGACCTGAACCCAGGGCACTGAAGTGGAGCATGCTGTGCCAAACTTAACCACCAGGCCATGGGGCCAGCCCCCTGTAGATCTATTCTTAAACTTTAATACCAGTTTAATAACTATTTCTGTGAACCACATGGATTAAAAAAAAAAAAAAAACTTTTAAGAAGTTGCCATTTAAATGAACGTCATTACTATATTAAGTAGTAAAATTTATCGAAAGAATACTTACAGATTTTATAGCAGGTGGTATTCTTTTCCAAAGATATCTTGCATTATTCCTAATTTACATCCCCCCAAGAAAGAATAAGCAATTAAAAAAAATCACCAGAGTAAATGCTTAAATTCTAGATCCCAATGCAAACACACAGAAGTATACTTTAAAATACTCTATATAACATAGAGTGAAATTTAGTTGTATATCAATTTGTTCAGGGGAAGTAAGAGCAGATTTCCAAACAAAAAGACACGAAATATTTTTACCAAAGTAACATTTTGCCATTTAGTGAATTTTTATTAATGATCCAGATCTTAAATTAAGGCAACAGTACACTAAAAACACAGACTTAAACAGAACTGCCTGCCTAAATAATTTATTCATATATGTAATGAGCAAATGTACACACTTTCAGGGCTCTGGCATTCCTTGACAATACGACTGCTACGCAATGCTTTTATCCTTATCATGACCCCTCCTCCTACCAGTGGGTAGAGAGCCACCAAAACTTCAAGGCAGTTTTTAAGAGTCTGGAAGCTTGAACTACATCAAACATATGACGACGGGATTACAAAAAAACAAAACAGATAATTTATATGATATATGTGTAATAAAAATCTGTTTCGTTTTTTAAAGAGATATGAAATGAAAAGGTTTAGAATTTAAAACAAAATTTAGCAGTAATCATTGATGGGCCCTACAATTACAAGGGACTCCTTTTGCACACTTATGCTTTCTGACCTCTCTTCAACCAACACCAATCAGGAATAATTAAAAAACAAAAGCTTTTAAGAAATCTCATACATGTTGGTAACGAATTCCTCTTAGCTTTCTCAATCTTCCCTTTCAGTTTCTCTTGGTCTACTGATTACACGTGAAGTTAAGTAAACAGAGGTCATAAGAGAGTTTTATAAAAATACAGAAAAGAAAAAGTCAAAAGAATTAAAGGAATTTATTGACACTGTTGTTTCTCATAACAAATTGGAATGTTTTTTAGAAGGTATATGTAAACAAGTGTATTTTAAAATAACTTAGCCTAGTCATAGTTTCTTAAGTCATGACTCAATAAGGAAACAGGTATACTGACTATTATAATAAAAGACATAGCTCCTTGTGCCTATGTTTCAGCGACGCTACTTCAATGCAAGAATAATTTCTATATAACCTTGAGGAAGCTGCTGCTCTTAGCTTTAGGTAGGAGGTACTTACATGTCATTATGGAGCAGATATAAAGCTAGAAGCTGACCATACACTGGGGGTGTTGCAATTCCTCCAGGAGCCTAAAAGGCCAAAAATGAAACAGAAAAACCTCACTATTCCTATATTTTTATTTTTAAAAAAGCATTTTATTAACACCAATCTAAAAAGTAAGCATATTTTATAGTACTTACTGTAATAGATGTAGAAGTATCAAACACTAAAAACCAGGGTTTCAAGTTTAAATCTGTCCTCAGCTGTGATTTATCTCCCTCTAGGCCCCTGCATCTTTATCCTCACAAGAATATTTAAATGGGATCCCTTACCCAGTTCTCAAACTCTCATTTAAACAGTCTTAGTATCACCTACAAGAAACAAATATTTCCAACAGATTCCTAAAGCATTATGACCCTGCCCATTAGATCAAATACGTGGAATACCTAAGTAAATGAGTGATCAACAGAAAAACATCAGAGCATCAGAACATTTCTCTCCTCATTCAAAAAACATCTAAGTGTCTATCAGTGAGTTGCTACTTGTGGCTGCTGTCTCCTTTAGTCAATTAACTTTTTATACTAACGTTATAAATGTTTTTTAAGTGCCTTTTTAAGGAAAACACTAACGTTAATAAGTGCATGATACAACTTTCACCTGTCTTACTGCAGACAAAACGGCAAGCTTACGTGATAACACTATGAGACTAAGAAGGGCTTTCTGGGTTAATAAAAGGTTAGAGTGGTCACATCTTCTTTGGTTTGTGTGTGTGACTGCACAAATGTCTTTGATAAAAGCCACATTCCCGCACAACGAGAAGTTAAGATGTCTAGACCAATCATCACGGAAGCACATTGGAGGATGTCAGGAGCAAAGACGCATGAGGTTTTCGGGCTCACTAGATGAAGACACATAACAAGAAGCTCCCAGCGAGTTCGGGGAGGCCGGGCCTGGATCCCCAGCCTCCGGAGCAGGCTGCAGCATCCCGGGCTCCACACGCCGGGCTCCCGCGCCGCCAGGCGCCCGCCCCAAGGCCCGCGGGCCGCAGGCCCCGTTACCCTGGAGACCGGCGCCGCCCGGGGCCGCCCGCGACCCCGCAGTTTCTCCCAGCGCCACGCGAATGGCTACCTCGAGCTCCTGGTTCTCGCACTGATCCAGCAACTTTTTGAAACTAAAGGCACTTTCCGCCATCACTGCCACTGGCATCTTCCCGGCCGGTTCTGCCGCTGCACCTTCTCAAGACCCAGATCCCTCACCGTCCCTCAGGGCGTCGCGCCCGCGATGACGTACAAAGCCGCCTTCACCGCCGCGAGCCAGGCGCAGGCGCGCCGTCGGTTCCGGCGCATCGATGGACGTCACTGCGGCCGGGCGGGGACGCCGCCGCTCCGGCCCGCACTCTCGGTGCTCTGGAGGACTGGCCAAGCCTCGCGGGAAGCTGCTTTAAGCGCGGGCCCGAACTCAGGAAGGGAGGGGATTTGTGCATATTTGCGGACTATTAGATGTCTCCACTTTGAGGCTTGATACACAGGCATACTTAAAGGCTCAAAACCTAGCTTTTGTTTCTCCCCCAAACCCGCCCCTTCAGCAGCCCTTCCCGTCTCAGTGAAGGGCACACCGTCCTTGCGCGCGGGGCTCCTCTTCTGCAGACCCCACGTCCGGTGAAGCGGCGCTCGCTGGACCGCTGACACTGCTGAACTTCCGTGCTCTGCTGATTTCCACGCCTGCCTCCCTGCAGGCTACTCCCTACACAGCAACAGCAGCCAAAATGATCTCTTCTGAAACATAAACCAGATCTTGTTGCTCTTCTGCTCATATTCCTAAAATCCAGAGTCCTTGCGGTCGCTTAGGCTGCAAGTTCTGATTCCCAGATCCTCTCCGACTTGCTCCAGCCATCCCGGCCTCCTCAGTCTTCTGCACAGTGCTTACTGCTAGCGCACATTACATTGCATATTGTTTATTTACATATTTGGTTTGCTGCCCTTACTAGACCACCAGGGAAGAGGCTTCGATTTGTTCCCTGAGGTAGGATTGGCTACATAATTTGTGGGCACAGAGAAAATTGAAAATGCAGGACCCCTTGTTCAAAAAACAGGAGTGTCATGAAAGGTAATATAATATAAAACTGTTTCCTTTGTTCGCAGTGTCTCTCTCAGCTTTTCGTAGCAGTTTTTAATTTGCTATTTAATATCATTCTAAGTAAAGAAAAATGGAAATTTTAAATTATTAGCTTGAATTTTACCACCCATCTTTATATTGTGCAATGCTAGTGTTAAATACAAATATAAGTGCATTTAACTCAGGTAGAATCACAGAAATTACACAATTCTTATCTCAGCACATGCGTGCATGCATATTTTGTTCTTATCAGAACCTTGGAAATGCCACACAAAACTAACTCAGCTGTTTTTCATGCACTTGGTTTTATGCAGGTGCTCTACCAGCACTTTCTACCTTAGGCATTCTGATGAGTTAGGAAAAACTGAAAGGAAAAGGAACCGTCCCTTTCCTGCTATGTAATCATTTTCATCACAAAGGAATATTTCAGCATAATACAAGGAAGTAACATCAGTAAGAAAGAATAGGATAGGGTTCCTTGATTGCCTGTGTTTCCTAGGACACCATTGCCTTCAGTTTGCATTTGAAGCAAGTTCAGGTTCTAAGGGAAAATGGGGCCTCTCCGGGCTGTCAGTGCCCAGCTTACTCTATTGTAGACATAATACGCTTACCTTGTACTCACTTTGAGTCTTGCTGAACTCCCACCATTGGGTCCAACAGGAATTCTATTTTCATAGGGTATTTTATACTCTATATGGAATGGCAGTGAACACGCATATTTCACATATCTCTTCACTCACGTGGAAATGCTCTGTGATCCCAAAGGGTGTCATTTACCAAACACAAGCTCAAAGATAAAACTATTAAGAATTTCAAGACAGTGACAGCCTCACTGATTATTTTTGCAGAATCAACAGTTTCCATGTGGAAATGATTGTGTTTAGTAATGCTTTGGATGGACTATAAAGATTAGAAAATCACTCCAAAAGTCCTTCAAAGTCCTTAAATAGGAAAGCATGCAAATAGCAAGTATAACTAGAGACATTTTGGAGGAATAAAGCCACAAAGTTGCATGAATCATACGAAGAAGGGAAGGACTAGGGCAAAATGATTCTAAGGTCATTCGACATAAATTTGAGGAGCAGGATTTTGAATTTTCAACATGTAATAATGGCTCCCAACCTGTTTTGGACAAAGAAAGATTTGGTTGCATCAACTGCCTGGCAATTTGATCATTTAAAGGGAAAATTATGATTTTAAATCTTTGGCAGGTACTTTGGGCTGCAAAAGGTGAAGATGTAATAGATGGTTCTTTGCTGAACAGAAAAATCCCAGTGAGGCTTTGGAAATACCATCACAGCTTAGAGGTAAAGTCTGGGGTGTCATTTAGAGGACCAAACTGTTCTTGAACAGACAGATACAAGGATCTGGGAATTGGAGGCTGACAGCTAGAGAGGGGAGGAAGGGGGTCTTGGGAGAGGGAAGGAGGGCTCTGGGGGTGGGGAAATGGAGCAATTGGGGCCTAAGGCAAGACCCTGGCCTGGATTCAGAGGACTCCAGGTGGCAGTGAGAGGCTGATGGATTTCCAGGGCTGTGATGGTTGATATTCATTTTTCAGTTGTTACTGTACTGTGCTGCATCTAACTTTACCCCTAAACTTTCAATAATAGGAGAAGTGAGGAGTATGATAAAGGGCAGTGTGGTGTAAAGCCAGTAATTTCAGGTGGTGGGACTCAGAAGAGAGATCAAGACTTCGTAGGGGCCGGCCCCATGGCTTAGCGGTTAAGTGCGTGTGCTCCGCTACTGGCGGCCCAGGTTCGGATCCCGGGCGCGCACTGACGTACCGCTTCTCCGGCCATGCTGAGGCCGCATCCCACATACAGCAACTAGAAGGATGTGCAACTATGACATACAGCTATCTACTGGGGCTTTGGGGAAATAAAAGGAGGAGGATTGGCAATAGATGGTAGCTGAGAGCCAGTCTTCCTCAGCAAAAAGAGGAAGATTAGCATGGATGTTAGCTCAGGACTGATCTTCCTCACCAAAAAAAAAAAAAAAAAAGACTTCGCAGAAGCAAGACAGTAGAGAAGAGGCCACCAGAAGGAAGCTCTGCTCCCTGGAGATGCTGACTCTGGGGCAATGAGAGGCTGCGTTTCCCACTGCACTTGGGATGAGGGATGGTTCAGCATGCTGAAGGGAAGTGTGGGCTCCTGAGGCTGAAGGGTGTGGGTCTCATATCCATTCCCCCTGGCTTAGCCCTCTTGTGCAAGTTGCCCCTCCTCTCTCAACTCTTGTCAGAGGAGAAGCACAGTCATTGAGGAAGTTGGAAATTGGAGAATGGCTAATTCAGAACTCTGAAATTTCACCTGATTCCTGGGGAATCCACTAAAAAAATCTATTAGAACTAATCAATGGATTCAGCAAGATTGTAGGATAGAAGATCAATATTCAAAATCAGTTGTATTTCTATACACTAACTGTGAACAAACTGAAATTAAGAAAACAACTTCATTTACAATAGCATCAAAAGAATAAAATACTTAGGAATAAATTTAAGAAAAGAAGTGCAAAATTTATACTCAGAAAACTATAAAATATTGTTGAAACAAATTGAAGAAAACCTAAATAAATGGAAATACATCCCTTGTTCATGGATTGGAAGACTGTATATTATTACGGCAATACTACCCACATTCGGATTCAATGCAGTCCCTATCAAAATCATAGATGGCTTCTTTGCAGATATTGACAAGATGATCATAAAATTCCTATAAAAATTCAAGGGACACAGAAGAGCCAAAACAATCTTGAAAATGAAGAACAGTTAGACTCACACTTTCCAATATCAAAACTTAACTACAAAGCTACAGTAATCAAGATAGGGTAGATGTGTAGGTCAATGGATAATAAGAGTAGACATATAGATCAATAGAATAGACTGAGAGTCCTGAATTAAACCCTTGCATTTACAGTCAGTTAATTTCTGGCCAGTCTGGCAAGGCCATTCCATGGGGGAAAGAATAGTCTTCTGAACAAATGGTGTGGGGACAACTAAATATCCATATGCAAAAGAAGGAAGTTGGACCCCCTACCTCACACCATCGACAATAATTAACTCAGACTGGATCAAAGACCTCAATGTAAGAGCTAAAACTAAAACATCATTAGAAGAAAACATAGGGTAAGTCTTCATGACCTGGCGTTATGCACGAGTTTTTTAGATATGACACCAAAAGTCCAAACAACAAAAGAAAAAATAGATAAATTGGATGTTACCAAAATTAAAAACTTCTGTGCTTCAGAGGACACCATCAAGAAAGCAAAACGACAACCACAGAATGGGAGAAAATTTTGCAAATCATATGCTGGATAAGAGATTTGGATTTAGAATAAATATATAACTCTTACAATTCAAAAATAGAAAGGCAAATAACCCAATTTAAATGAGCAAAGGATTTACTTAGTCATTTCTCCAAAGAAGATATACAAATGGCCAATGAGCACATGAAAAGATGTTCAGCGGCATTCCTCATTAGGAAAATGCAAATCAAACCCAAAATGAGATACTACTTCCTACCTGTGAGGGTGGTTATAATAAAAAAGACAGATAATAGGTATTGGTGAGGATGTGGAAAAGTCAGAACCCTTATACACTGCTGGTGGGAATGTAATGTGGTATAGCTGCTTTGGAAAACAGTCTGGCACTCCTCAAAAGTTTAAATGTAGAAATAGCATATGAACCAGCAGTTCTACTCCCAGGTATATATCCAGGAGAAATGAAAATATGTCCACACAAAAGCTTGTGCATGGATGTTCATAGCAGCATTATTCATAATAGCCAAAATTGGAAACAATCGAATGTCTATCAATTGATGAACACATAATAAAATGTGGTATATCTATACAGTGGAATATTATCTGGCAATAAAAACAAATGAAGTACTGACACATGCAAGAACATGGATGAATCTTGAAAACACTGTGTTAAGTGAAGTAAGCCAGTTGCAAATGACCAACTATTGTATGATTCCATTTATGTTACATATTCAGTATAGGCAAATCCATAGAGGCAGAAAGTGATTGGCGGGAGGCAGCAGAACCTGGGGTGAGAGGATGGGCCACAAAGGACCAGGGCCGTGGGTGGAGTCTATTGACAACCAGTCTGCATCACAGTTGCAGGGAAGCAACTGCAGCAATGGGCCAGCCCTGACCAGCCCTCCTCTGTGGC